GCGCAGCCGGTTTGATTTATCGTGCCGCCGGCTGGCAGGTGGGCGCGCGCCCGCAGCGCAGTATTTCCTCATGAGAGCCACCAGCAGCGCGCGCCGTACCTGTGCCGCTCCGCAAGCAGCGCCTCCTCGGGCACACAGGCTCCGGGCAAACACACGCAAGGTCACCAGCACCAAAGCTGACTCAGGCTACCAAATCTTCCCGTTTTGTCCTCACATCTCACTGTAGGGAGAGCCTTTTAGGCACAAGGAGGGAAATTAACCCTGCACGCTTCTCACCGGAGAGCGAGCAATGGCTGCTTGCCTTGCAGAGCTCCGATTAAGGGCCTTCGAGGTACAGCTCGAAGGTACAGGAGCCTTCGAGGTACAGGAGCGAGGGAGGGAAGCACAGGTAATGAAACACTTCTCCCTCCCTCCTAGAAATCCAGTTTGCCAGTGAAAGAACAAGTCAAGTTTAAAACAACAATGCCCACCTACCAATGCCATCAAGTCAACTGGTTTGGCTACGCTCCAGGACGCCTTAGCACCAGATCCTGCAGATCCCAGCATTTGCACAACTGTAACTGACTCCAGATTCTCAAAACCCTGGGCACCGGCACGACTGGGCAAAACTTGCCTACAGGCTCTCGCCAGTAAAAAGAAAAACCCAATTTTGCGCGTGGCGCGGCTCTCCTCACCCTACGTCCACGCCGAACTGCTCGAAGCTGATCCAACCTGGTCTCTAAAGCTAAACGATGTTGAGGCTGGCTAGCGAGAGATCGGAAGCCGTTGACTATAATATCAAAAAAACCCCTCACTCCAGAGACGCGGTTCCCAAACTACTGCTTACCCTCCTCACTGCACACAGCCTTACCGGCTACTCTCCTCAACAGCGCTAAATTCCTGAACAGAAAGAGGAGCAATCAACGGGCCAGGATTCTGAATCTCCAGGGCAGGAAACAAAGACCGTGTCTGCTCTGTATTCCGATCCAAGCGCGCCATCACAGGAGCCGAATCCAGGCAACTGCTGTCTTGATTACACAGCGAAGGCAGCAGTTATAACAGCCCCTCTCGGCAGAGAAGCAAGATTATTTTGTGCCAGTAAATTAAGCAGATACGAATTAGAGGACAAGTACAGTTTTAAGGTGCCTTTTCACAGTCTTTTTTTTTTTTTTTCTTTTTAAACCACAACCTCCCTTTAAATGCTAATCTGCCTCCCAGTACAGTACCGAACAGCCACCTTTCCACTTTGTCTCCCTTTCAAAGCTGTCAAGCTGCTAACCTCCAAATGAGCACTCGGGTGCCATTTCTAATCTGCCAACAATATGTACTGAGATGCCCCTTGCTGATGGGAGAAGACAGCAATAAGATGGGCTTCTGTGAAGCTAAAATGAGCTTCTCTCACACTAATGAGGCAGGACTGACAGGCCTCGAGGTGTCAAGTAGAGACTGGAAACCTGAAGACACAAAGGATCTGGCAAGGCTACACAAAAGATCACATCTGCTCCACGCCGCCACCGGAGCAGGGCCTAAAAGATTCCCGGCATCCTCCTCCCCACACGCC